ACGCGTATTAAGAAATGTTATCTTGCCTTATGTATAAACACGCATGTATTCATGAATAATATACACTTAAATCACTCACTGCGATTGCACTTTGGAGAGCATTAGTACGTACATGGCTTGTTTTGAGGTGTGTTGGTCTTGTTTTCGCATCTATCGGTTAGTATACGAGGGTTGTGTGTTCATTTGCATGAGTGTGAGATACTGAAGCCTTTTTGCATGTATACGTTTTAATTCGGGGTCTGTGGGAACCAACCTTTTTATCTGGCCAGTCCGTTTCGAAATCACACAAAACGTATATCTCAGGTATTCACATAGACAGCGAACACACCCATAAGAATTTCGTCCCATTTGACAAGTGGGTCGTCTTATTAACAGTCGGAGGTGTTGGTATGCACACAAAACATACAAGAAAGAATTGCAACCGATCACAATACTGACATCGTATCGTCTGTTTTTTTGGATGTGACAGAATCTGCGGAATCCTTTGGGCACACTCAGAGTTGCCATCAAACGCGCGAAGATCAAAGCGCTCACCAACAGGCCTCAGGTTCGTCTATTCGGCTAAAAATACATATGTATATAGCTATATATAGATATGTATTTGGCTATAAACAAATAATAGATAACTACTCGTTGTATATGCTCAGAGAATAGGGTGTTTTTGTTTGGAATAGTGTTCTGACTCAGGTACAACCAATTGATGTGCAGCCGTTTGGTGTGTTGCTTGGTTTGGCCTGTTTTTCAACCACTGATACACTCGGCAATGCCCAAGTCAGCGGTGCTTCCTGCGCGTGTCTGTATTCCCATAGACTCAGTTCACGTGTGATGGGTGCGTGTCGCCAGACAAGCACTACTGCATCATCCAAGCACGAGGGCGTGTTCAAGAACACCCCCGCTTTACCATATTGAGCAGCTCATGTGGAGATGGTTATGCAAACATGCGTATACCATCCACGGGCATATACTCGCACACATCTCAACGTACGCACGTGGACATATACCACTTTAAACCCCGAGCCCTATCTCCCCGTTAGGTGGGTGTGCCAGACAAGCACTACTGCATCATCCAGCACGCGGGAGTGTTCAAGAAGACTCCCGCGGTCCCGTCCCTGACCCCAAAGTGGGAACTGGCCAACTTCGACTTCACCGTATTCGAACTGAGCACGAGTACCGTTGTGTACGTGTTTGTCGAGGGTACGGACAAGTTCATTGGCAGCTATATATTCAAGCTCAGCAGTCTGTGGGTTCACCGCGTGTACCAGACATGGGTGCCGTTGGTCAGGAAGAGCTCCAAGAAAATGTACAAGCTGGGTGGCGAGGTGGGTGGGCATAAGCGTATATTCCTCAATGTACGTGTGAAGGAGGTTGTATTGTACGTGGGTCGTTCACTGGGATATACGACACGATTTGTGAAGTTGTGTATTGTATGTGCATGCTGTTGAATGGGCCACACAAGTCAGTGTGTGAGTCGACATGGTCTACCAGACATAGGGGCCGCTAGTCAGATAGAGCTCCAGGAAGACTGACTGGGCGGCAAGGCGGGGGGCAGCCGATCATAGTCATTTAACACGACGAAGCATGTACCCTTTAAAGTAGACAATTTCTTCACATGTAGAATAGTTTGTAGTGTGTATGTCTGAATGTGAAAGGGACGTATACTGCAGTCTGTGAGTTGGTCAGCTGTGCATGTGACACATGAGGTTTACCGCACAAACCTGACTTTCGGCCGCTGCGCTCATCACCTTCAAGAGAATACTTAAAAACAACTGGTTTCAGTACATCACAAAGAAAGTGGCATCGTTGGCGTCGTGCTTCTCTACATTCTATAAATGGACCTTGAACACCTATAAGGTGTATGCACGTGATACCCTGTCACTGACACAGATGGGATGCGAGACTGCAGGGCAGTGACAGTGCAAGTGTGACTCATTCACTGAATTAGTATACGCATGCACCTACCCAACCGTTCATTTATACGAGCTATGGTATCTGTCCATACACCTGAAGCCCGAGAGCAGTGTAGGCATCTCCACTCAGGGGAACATTCGTGCCCATCTGACCACAGATAGGTCTCCACTGCGAGCTAGAGCGCGACACCGTGCAAGTACTATCTATTTATATAGATCCCAGATACTAGACAAAGGATAAATCTCCACCGCGCATCTCACATCCTAGCTCGTACCTAATTTACGCGCAACAGGTACTGTTAGCATGCAAGATAGAGTGCGACACCGCCCAAGCACTACCCACTTATACATGTCCCAGATATAGTATACATTCCCTCACTTTTCACGTCCTTGTGCCCACCCTACATCCTTGCTACAGATACTGCTGGAGTGTGAGCTACAGTGCGACACCGTGCACGTGCTTCCCATCTATCTCAAGCCTATTGCAGCCGCAGTACTCAATCCGTGCCGGAGCGCACTGGAGAAGGAAGTGACACGCCTGGGGATCAACCGACGCACCATCAAGTACTTCACACGCGATCCAGAGAA